AGGCGCTTTAACTCGAAACAAACAAAGATTAGATCCTAGGCTATCTTTATTCTCCCCAGTGGAACATTCACGGCTTTCCAGGCAGTATCCACAGACCGCTGAAAACCACATCAACCAACTTGGATAACCGAATACACAACACAACAGACAAGCAACAACAGCGGACGGCAAAATGCCCGAGAAGAAACCAAATAAAATAACGGAATAACATGCGCAAAAATAACGAGCATTTGGAGTGAGTGCCCTAAAGGTGCAATAAGTAGGGTGGTGCACATAATGGCAGGGTGCACTGCATCGGGTTCTGATGGGCAGACATAATTGGGAGTTGAATTGAACCGGCTTGTGTGTTGTTAGCTGTGATCTTGGGTTTAAGACACTGGGTTAGCGCATACGTCCTGGGTCTTTAAGTCATATGAGGATGGTAATTATCATTAGGTTTGTCGATCTCTCATGCGGGCAGGAGTACCAAAGGCCCGATGGAAAGGTCCACTTTGCAGGGGTTGGAGGTGGTCTCCGAGGGCGACCCGTGTGTCAAGGGAGTATTTGGTCTGCTAGAGGTAATCGGGTCAGGAAAAAAAATTACTCCGAGAAAAGCAGGAAAGTAGTTATAGTAAAGGAAAAAAAAAGAACAAAACCTAAAATTAAGGTGGTAAAGTGTAACTCCCAGAAAAGACCAGACTTGAGTTTTCCTGTCTGTTGTTTTGTTTTTGCCTTGTCAAGTGAATGCAAGAACTGGCTGTCGTAGGAGGGGGCGGAAGTGAGGAGAGTCTCCGCACTCAGCCAATTGAGGAGGCACTGAGGACACGAATTTTTGAATACCGGGCTGGTAAAGCTTGTAAGGTGTCTGGCTGTAATTGTGGCACACATTGGATCATGTTGTCGATATTGGGGGAGGCAGCATGTGCGATGTAAAGATGGTTTAGCACACTGGTATGAGAAGACCGCTATAAGAGGAAGGGCCTACTTAAGTGGTTTATTATTAAATGAAGACACATAAGAAATACAGTCAGATGATACTTATTAGGACTAAGCAGCAGCTAAAAGTCCCAAAAAGTAAGACATTGTTGATGAAGTTTGCCTGCTTGTCTGACGAGTGTTCGTTCCTCGGAAATAAGTTGATGTGGACGGTGCAGGAGGTTAAGAAGAAAGCACCATTAAAAACGTAAATAAAAGTTATCAGTTAATCGGTACAATACTTATCAAGAATTCGAAGCCAATTTTACAAATAACATTGTTTATAAATTTAAACTAAAAAGGAACGTGACAGAAACAGTATTCGTTTGCTGACAGCACGAGCCGCAAAAGAATTAACATCATGATGATTTTACATTACTTCTATCTTTTTGTTGATCTTGTGAAAATAATAGAATCACACGGCCACTCACAGTAGCCGGTGTATGCCCAAAGTAGTAAAGTAGTTTTCTAAAGAGAGTGATAGATGTCAAGCACAGCACCATAAATAGACACACTCAAATCCTGTACGGCTTAATCACCAGCACAGTCTAAGATGAGTGTGTGTTAGCCACAAAGTTCCCTATCAAATATCAGCGACTAAACTCACCCTCCTCACACTCACACTATTATTTTCTTGCTGATATACATGTTTCCTCGCTCAACCAAATGTCGGGCATCCAGCATTACCCCGCTATCGCCAATGTTACTAAGGGTTATAACAATATGTGTTTAGCAGTGGTGAATCTTTCCACTCGTGTTAACAAAATCCTCTCTCTAGTCACGCTCTAGTGTTTGCCACTGCTCTTGTTAGGAACGTGAATCGCTGTGTAAATGATCTGAACAACGTGCGACTATCATAACACATCACTTATTAGAACGGACGCCATAATCTCGACACGCGACCGCTCGCTCGCTCTCTCGCGCTTTTCTCAGCTTATTTTTCAAGATAAAACCATCGCCGACCGAAGTAATGCCAGGACC